CAGCAGTATTATTGGTCCTGATCTGGCATCTTGGCTTTGGTCAGTTTCCTCACCACCTTAAAGTTGCTTCCCCATGTCTTTTCTATAAATACTTTCATGGTAACTGTTCGAATGAGCTCTTTGCTATGGTACCTAGACTTTCTCAATTAAAGTGCAGTACTAGACTGGCAACAAGTTCTCATCAATTTGCAGTTGAGTTGGCTAGATGTAGCTGTAATTTATATACTAACTAGCTGTATTAAGTTACAGTCAGCGCTGTCTGTCTAACTCTCTGCATTAGCAGGGAGGAACCCGGACAAAGCTTTGCCAAAGGGCAAGGTTTCGTTCGGGGAGGTTGACAGTTCTTGAACCCACCTAGGCGGGTTCGAAGGCTATATTTTTGGCCGGGCCTACGGGCTTGGATGACCCACAATAAACTCGGCCTTGTGCCACATTCAATCCCACGTGGGGGGATAGCTAAATATGGTAAGTTATATACTAACAGTTTTTCTCACACTTCTCACTTGTGGAACTCTCTTCTGGTTCTATGCTTTCCAGCCAACTTTAATCTTCTAAAATTTAAATGTAATGTCCATCACTATCTACTGCCCACCTGATTACTCTTCTTTTGTTCCCACTCCTTAGTAATGTTTGTGTTTTTAATTTTCCCACACCCAGTGTGTCTTAGGGCTTTACTCCCTTGTTTTGGGTGAACGCAATTTAAAAAAAACAAAGATTGTTCCCATTTTCTTTTCTGTGCCAGAGCATGTCCTATGTTAATTATTTGTTTTTAGTTGCATCATCCTTGTTATCTAATGGGAGAGACAAGTGATATCATGAAGATGAATTAACTGTTGTGATATCATCTGCTGCAATATCATCTAGCATAGACAGCAAAATGAGAACCGTATATTCCCATAGGTTGAATAATAGGTGAGGTTTTGAAATTCTCTGGAGGTTATCAACTATAGAAGGAAGAAGGCTAGAGAGTACTCAGCCAAAATGAAAACTGAGGAAATCTCTATATAATAATAACATATTCTGATAATGATTACTGCTTATCTTCTTGGTTTGTATAAAATATAGACTTGTTGAAATATAACATTCTGGTCATGTTTTTTTGCTTAAACCTCCTGGATGTTCTTGATAGATTCTTATTTTAACAATACTGTTTGAGAAAGGGACTGAAATGATTAGCTAGGAACAAGATAACAATGTGATATTTAAATTGACTCAAAAATCCAACAAATGAGTTCACTGTACAACTAAACCATATTGAATCATCCATCCAGTATATTTGTTGATACTTGTTAGCTTTGAGTTTGACATGAGAAAAACATTCCTTACCCTTTTTTCTGCAGGGTCACAAAATTGCAAAGATAGTTTTTAATAGGTTTATAGAGTGAGGAAGGAAATTTTACAGTTGTTTTTTTTGTTTAATCATTTCCTCCCAAACAATGAAATAAAGTCACTAAGACACAAGGAATTACTGAATGTAAAAGAATAAATTGTTTTTTTTCCACACTGATTTGCTACGAGAGCCACTTCAGGTAGAGGGTTACATTAAGAAGCAGTTTATATGAATAGGAGGGGATGATAATTTAACCCTAGACTTGAACAGGTTAAGATTGTAGTGATCAAGGAAACATCCTCTTGGGAGTTGGTTCCACAGAACAGTGGTTCACAGGAAGTTGTTTGAGTGGAACTTACTTATCACCAATGTAATATGGAGGGAATGTGGGCATTTTTCTACAATGTAAGTGGCATGGTGGGTCCTAACCATAAAGGTTAGGACTGGTGGAACCAGGGAATGTGTCATATAGGAAAGGGATCAGTTCGAAATACCAATGGATATCACCTGAAAAAAGAAAGTGTACAACATATTGTGAATATGACAATAAAGATGAAGACAACAGTCCAAACAATGTAAGCAATACCCCGTTTCAGGAATATAAACAGATATTAATAACACATAAATATATTACAGGCAAATTGAAAGTCAAGGAGGATGCTAATGCCTAATAAATGAAAGTCAGTAAATGTTATTGATTTTTTTTCTAATGTATTTAATAATGTATTTTATTTTAATTTAAGAACTGTATTTATGTATTTATATATTTGAAATAATAGGTTTTGAATTTGTTTTCTTTTAATTTTTCAAAATATTTATAGTCACATACACTGTCTTGGGAAAGGAGTATATCTTTTAGGAAAGGAGATATTTGAAAAAATCTGCAGTTGAGATTTATATTTTGGTAAGATTTAATAGTAAGAATATATGATTTTATATATCAACAAACAGTATTTAGAAAAATAATATGAGAAATTGAAAAAAGTTTTTGTGATGCATTTCATCCACCCAATGAAATCCTAACAGATGAATGCATCACAAAAAACTTTTTTCCAATTTGTCATAGTATGTATGTATAAAGGTATTCCTCCCTTCTATCAGCCCTTATCAAAACTGGCATCTTCTGTAGACTTGTAGCTTGCACTACTGAAGTACAATACTACAATCACCTTGGTAATATTTACACATAGATTGACAGTTGAAATAGGATCACCTCTTGGCCCAACATTCTCCATTATCTGTCCTACCTAAAAAAAAAAAAAGTCTTTAAAAGCTTAACTAAACCCACGAGAGCTAGATATCATTTTATTAGCTAAAGACATAGATGAAATAAAAATCCTTAAAGGAATTTTTGAAAGTCTTTCTGCTTTAACTATGCACAAAGTATCAATAAAACCCCTTCCATGATGGTTTAATAGATTTTAATAATCAGACTTTCAGCACTTGAATTGTAAGAATAATTCTTCTTTTTTTTTTCTTTTTGTTAATGAATATTGCATTAAAAACTTATTTTGAGAATATCAATGTGTTTTCCAGATACAAGTCCTACTGTTTAGCCCATAGGTAGAGGGAGAAGATAGAATTATACCTTTCCCAAGGATGATAATGAACTCAACTTATATTTGATCATGACTCTGCAATTTCTCATTACAAGCCCAGTGCCCACAGCAATATATTTTTCATAAAAAAAATATGATCAACAGGATGCACCTCGCTGTTTTATAAAGAACTCAGAAATATAAATGTCAATTAATAATGACTTTCTAGGCAATATAACTGATGAAGAAATAAAATTAAATTTAAATGACAAAAATAAATCCAATAATTACCAGAATAATATAAAAAACAATTTTACTGCAACCAAATACATCAGAATGATCAATAAAACAAAACAGCAATGAAAAATACAATATGTAAATACACATCACCTAATAAAAACAAAGTTAACCATCTGTTATAAAACATTAAAAACTTGTTGTTACAAATAATATTGCTCTCTCTCCAAACAGCTATTAAATAAGAATAATCTAATAGGTGAATTCTTTGGCCCATGATGAGATTGTATTACTAATAAAACAAATATCTAACTCATACATTGATCAAATAACTACAACTCTTTCACTTTAACTAATATGCCATTAATCATACAAGCCTTCTTTCTTTAGCTTGGGTGATTGTCTCTTTCCGATTCATGATTGACTTGGCAGAATTCCTGCAATAGGCTGGCATTACTTTCTGTGTTAGACTGATTGCCAACCAAGGCTATATGGCTCAGTCTTTCCTGCTATTTACCTAATGCTGTGGGAGAAAAGATGAATTCATACTTTTCCAAATGGTATTTGTGTATAAGTGAATATAACAAACTCGACTGGAATTTGATCTGCCACTCACACACCTAATCAGACAATAGTGTCAAAAAGAAACTTATATTAATCAACATATTACACAAGGCTATCATAATCCTACTAATATTAGAGTCTCATAGACAATGCTATTATACTTAACATAAATTGTAAAAAATAATTAATAAACATATTAAGCTCAATCTGCTTAATATCACAGGTGGTTTTACATACATTGTCAAAGGTCTATGAATGACACTTTCAACATGTCAAGACATGATTTAAATTTAGAGTGTTTTAAAAATGTTAAATGTCATGATGAAAAGAACCAATACATCAAAGTTATCTTGAAATAGAAAAATATAACAGAATTCCATTCTTGAAAATGACCAACAATAGTTGAAAGTGCTTGAATGTATATGTATGGAAAGTTTTTACGTACACTGGAACAAAAATGTATTATGGAAATAAGAGAAAAATTACCACAAAGTTATCAACACAAACTTCCTGATTTTTAGTAAAACCTGCTTATAGTCATCTACAGATTGTTTCACTGTATCACAGCTCATCAGTGTGGTTAGACATGCAATTGCTTCAAGCCAGGATTGAAACCCAACTGATTTGACATCAGAGACTGACCCTTAGGCCATCAGCACACACTAGAAAAAAGGGAATTTTTAACACATTATATACATGTATATGCATTACTGGCTACCAGAGGTGTCGATTCATAGTGAAGAGATTAGCATTAATCAACAGAATCAGCCAATATATATAATCTCAGTTCTGGGTATGACAATAAACTACATCTTGCAGCAAAGCTTCTAATTGGGAAGTTTTGAGGAGTGTGGAACTACCTCTTAATTGCTGTTGCTCTCGGGTTCACCCTGACCTGGGGTGGTAGCACCTGTTAGGGTCTCAGCTATAGTGACTCCCACCTCCAAACAAAATAAAATACTATGAAAGTATAAAAATACATTTTTCAAAAAAAAAAAATGTAGTTATGTGTGATTGTAAGAAATATTTAAGATCTTAGTCAAATTTGGTTAGTGTTAAGTTATAAAATCCATCTTTGACTTAGAAAGGTAAATGTAAAAAGAACTGAACTTTTTCCATCTTTTAAAATCTGCTTCTAGTCAATTTAAAAAGTCGTTTGTCAATAAAATTGGCGAATTTATATATGTATTATTAAGACTCTTTCCTCTAGTATTAGGTAACTAAAATTATTTGATTGTTTTAAATAAACATCCTCTTATTTTTCTTGGCTTCACTGATAGAATTCTTTGTTGGTCAGGCTAAGCACTTTTTAGCACCTACAGTGGATCATGTTGAAACACCGGTTCTCATATGATCACTGAAGTTAAGCAACATTGAGCCTGGTCAGTACCTAGATGGGTGACCACTTGGAAATATCAGTTTCTCTTAGTTTGGATGTGTATGTGGTGCAATGAATAATGGCTCAGAATTGTTAATCAGAGAGCAGAGTTTCAATTCCTATTGGGTTCATTATATTCATTCACATGCAAATAACCTTAGGAAATGTATGAATCAACCTCCTCTCCCATCCAGCTATGGGTTGATTGTTAAGACTTGTTTTGCTAAACCATTATTATCTCCCACTAAAAATGTTCTTACAATCTGAAAATATCTCCTGGCTTTAAATAACCTGCAAAAAGTTGATAAGCCATGGAAAATGAATCAATCAGTCAATTTGTGGATGTATTTTTTTTTCTTCTGTTCATCATTTCTTTAATTCTAAGGGCTGATAGGCTTGTATATTTACTATGAGAAAACTTAAGAATGAAATAAAAAATTATCTTTCTAAACCTTGGAAGGCCATTTTTCATGAATATTAAATTGCTGTGGGGTTTTCAGTTATAAGGAAAGCCTCCAGTAATTTTTGCATGTCTGTATTGACTGACTGGGTATGTTTTTTTATATATATATATATATATATATATATATATATATGTAATCTCATTATATTACACAGTAAGATATATATAATCTATCGTACTGTGCAGTAGAATGATTTATGTATATGCAAAAGATAACCCATTTGACTCATAGGTATGCCTCATGAAATCTGTCAACTTAATTTTCTTGCCAGTAGGAATTAATTTATCATTTATAGTACAACTACTACTACTACTTCATTAATATACTAATATATACCTACCTATTTACAGAGTACATGGTATTCACCCAGAACATGACTGATGATGTGTCATAAGTTGCCTAACTTTTATGTGACATTCCCTTTCAGGACATGTGTGATCATGGTCCTCTACAACTTCCTACCTTTTATTAATGTTTTATTCTTTTTCACTATCTCTCCCATTCTTTGTTCTGCCATTCATTTGTAGGTTATTTGCTGTTTCTCTCTGCCCCTTTTGCCTTCAATTTGTCCTGTGTGTGTCAAATTCTCTAAGTCCCCTTTTCTCATTATATATCAAACATTTCAACTGTCTTTTACAGTTTTAAGAGAAAGGATTTATAAATTTCAATCCAGTAATGCTGTTTGGTTAATAAACGTTGAATGTTTCCTGTATGGAAATGACTAATTCCACCATTACCATCAGAATGAGACAATTTATTTTTAATAAAATTATTTATTCATATCATAATTTATTCAGTCAACAAAGCCTTTTCCTTGACTTCCTTTATGCCATCTTTCAGGTAAATTGTGTAATCCATCATAAAATGGCTTATTGTAATATTATGTTGAAATACCGATTCTTATACAATCAGCAAAGTTAAGCAATATTGAGTCTGGTCAGTACCTAGATGGATGACCATATGGGAATAGCAGGTACTCTTAGCTTGCATATGAAGGTAGTATAATGGATAACAGATTGGAATTGGAAATCAGATAGCTGAGTTCTAATTCCAGTCGGGTTCATTATATTCACTTATGCACAAATATCCTCAAGGAAGTTATGTATCCACCTCTTCTCCTTCAGCTATGAGTTAATTAGTAGGACTTGTCAGTATATCATTATTATCTCCCCCAAAAGTTTTATAATCTAAAGATGTTTTCTGGCTTTAAATAACCTGCAAAAGGTTGATAAGCTGTAAAAAAAAAACAAATCAATTCATCATAAAAACAATTCCAATTTTGATTTAAAGAATTTGAATTTGCATTAACTGCTGACCTTACAGGAAGTGTTTCATTAATGAAAAGAGTGATAATCTAAATGTGACAGGTTTGGAAAATATGAAGAACTTCCAAGTGCAATTTTTTTTTGTGTTGCTTTTACAGCATAAGGACTAGTGTTATACAACAAAATGAATTTTAGTCAAATTAAGCAGCAAATTTTATTAAAAAGGATCAACATTCTATTTTTGTTGAGATTATTGTACTTTGAATCTGTGGTGCTGCAACAAGTGCCTGATGTAGAAAAGGTAGACTTCTGCAAAATGATACCAGCTGCATGTCCTTTGGTCAACAAAAAGACTTCAGGAGACAAGAAAAGTGGCAGAGATTGTACAAAGTGCTGACCTTAGGCTCCTCATTGTCTGCATGGGCCACTCAGTTTCAAAACAAAATAATGCAGTAGCATGCCATCAACATTCAGGTTGTTAAAGATGCAGAGGGAAAAAGAGATTTGAGAAGGACGAAAGAGATCCTGGGAGAAGCAGAGGAGATTTGAACTACCCTGCCCCACTAACTTCACATTGATACACCCACTCTTGGTTTCTTTTTTATTATTATTTTAAGCCTTCAAACCACAGTTATCCAGTGTCTTTTCCAAACTACAAATCACCTCTCACAAACCTGACTGCTGCAGATGCAAAATATTTCTAAAATCAAGGCTGCATATTGGCTTTCAGCTCACATGAAACATCTTCAAGATATGAAAAAGTAAATTGAAAGAAAGAAAGTTAAGTGTTTGTATTTTTTAAACTCAAGTTTTTTGTTCTGAAATTGAATCTGATAATTGCAGAAGGTCATATAAGCAACATTTATCAGTCAATGACATGATTTTTACTTTACTGTTTTGACTATACTTATTTTTATTAATATATAATTGCTTTTGTTGGATATAAATGGCTTAAAAATATTCTTTTTTTTATTGGATTTATGGGGTATTTTATTATTGTTACTGAGGAGCTGTCTAATATTTTAATTTTAATCAATTTTATTGTACAATATCAGTTTAAGTTCATGAAATTCAGAATAAAGAATTCCCTTTGAATCTTATGAAAAACAGGAAATAAATTCCCAATTGATTTCATTTATTTATATGCTGACTATTGTTTTCATCTTTATTATTGTTATCACAATGTTTCAGCTGTTGTGTCATCTGGCCTTCAGGAGGAGAGGTTTATATCTTCTTTCCTGTTTGGATTGGCTTTCCAGTTCCTTATAGAGTCTACTTTAAATCTTTACTTATAATATCTCTGCCTAAAACTCCAAACTTTTATTTACTATTTACATTTTTTTCTCGATAGGAGTGGATAGGTTTGCCTATTGTCCAGTTCAGACACCTGCTTGATCTTTTGGACAGGTGTAGAGATTTATCGCTTGTTTCATATTAAGGATTGGCTTTCTGGTTCCCTCTGAAATTTCTTTCTTCTCTTTCACTTCCGGTAACCGCTTGTATCTTAGCACTAGCTTGGAGTGGTGCCACTTACTCTGTAACCCTATATCTCGAGTGGCTCTTGGGCCTTGTACATGGTGAACATCATTGCAAACAAAAACAAATGTTGATCCAGGAATTTCAAAGTGAATTATTTAATCTACATGTGTAGATTGTTCTTGTTCCACTATCCATGTCTAGCGAGATATCTCATCTTGTTATTTTTATATTGTCTACCAGCCTATTTCTATTGAGTCCAAGTACTCACTGTCCAACCCAGGGATTGAACTCACAATTAGTGTATCACCAAATTCATGAACTGATGTTTTAATCCACAGGGCTATTGTGCCATGTAGACAAATAAATCATTTTTTTTTTTTTTTTTTTTTTTTATTACAAGTGACTATATTGTTCAAAAATAACTTTCTTCCTTGTGGATCAAGAAGTGAAAGAAAAGTGTTTCACTGCTATTCATTTTCATAATTTTACAGTGAATTTTTAAGATTTTCCTAGTCTTTGAATTTTTGCTAAGTCTTCTAATATGCTAAGCTATAAAGAGCTGAATAAGTGTCAAACACTCTTCTAAGATGGCACATACATGAATGCATGCACACACGCAACCACTATGTAAAAAAACAAAAAACAAACTTGCACCAATGAAAAGTACATATAAAAAGAAAAATTGAGAAGTATAAGCAGTCAGTTATTGATATCCTCCTGATGAGTGGATGGAGTAATTCTTGGAGGGTCTGTCTACAAAACATTGCAGTCTTGATACTGAAGGTAACATCAATCAGCTAAGTGACAAACCTTTTACTTTATTAATCTTACTTATTATAAAACGCAGATTGTGTGTGTGTGTGTGTGTCTGTAACGTTTATATATTGGATCGGATTTCCTACATTTTTCAACCGATTTCAACAAAACTTCACAGGACTACATAAAATTACCTTGTGGTGGTTCTAACAGCGCCAAAAATGGGAAAAATATAATTGTTTTTGCACAAAATCAATTTGAAAACACGATTAAGAGACATCGTGAAAATGGAAGTGGGACAACTCACATCGGGTTGTTTGTGTGTGTGGGTTCCTTTAAATATGGGAGCGGATTTCCTATATTTTTCAGCCGATAAAACAAAACTTCACTTTTATTTTTAATATTCACAATGCTTTAAAAATTCCATTTACAAGACAATTATTTATAATAAAATTCTATTCAATCGGTAGAGACTCATAACGATTGAAAACAATGTTTTTGTTTGAGTTTGGGTTTGACCAATTCGTAAAAAACTAAAAAAAAACTAATTAAGACATGAGTGTCCGTCAACCTTAAACAATAATCTTTGTCAATTTTATTTTTCAGTCTTTATGATGGTGGATACTTGATCTATCTCTTACTGTTATATCCCCGGGCAACGCCGGGCTCTACTGCTAGTGCTAAATAAGATTTCTCTGAACTCCTCTATTTCACTTTAACTCGGATTTCATTAGAAGCAATGTATTTAGATGCAGGTAACTTCCTTTCTGTTTAAATTTCTTAAATGAGAAATTAATAATGTGAGTCATTCCCTGTCAAATCAACAAGGGTCTGACCATCATTGACACAGATTTTTTTCAAGTTGGGTACACATATAGAGATTCATGATACAAATTGAATGGTACTTATTTTACATATTTAGGTCAATGAGAAATTTTAGTCAAAATTAGTTTAATTTTCTTTTATATTGCTCCTTTAATTTTTCCTGCTTTTTATTCCTCACAACTAGTTTGTTTTTTAGATTAAAACTTAATTTATATATATATATATATATATATATATATATATATATATA